GTTTAATTTAATAAAAAAATTACTTTACCATTTGATATGAGGTTTACTATTACTGATGATGACATTTAAGGCATAACAGAACTGTATTTGCCAGGGCTGAGTTTATGGTCATGCCTCAAGTTAGTCTCTGAATTTCTTTGGAGAATTTTACCGGTGAAGTCAAACAGAAATCTCATCCAGCTCTTCTCTGTATCAGTTGGAGTTCTAAATAATGAATGGAAAATCAGAAGTCAAAATATATTTGCTTTTACTTGGTGGGTGTCAATATCAGAATCACCCCATTCTTCTAAGAAAGATCATGCAGAAATCAGAGTCGGAAAACTGACATGAAAGTATAAGGCAGTTCACAGCATAAAAAAATCCCTGTGCTGATTTTCAGGAAGAGTATTTGTTGTAGAGAGAAGTTATGCCCAATCTTCTCTTTCACATAGTAACTTACCATTTATTGAGCCCCTCCCATCTGTTCAGTGCTGTGGAAAGCTTTACTTTGCTTCTCCACTGGTCTCTGGCACTGCCCTCTTTCGAGCTGAACACTAGTTCTCTCATTTTTACAGACAATTTGACTCTATCTACAACATCTGGATTTTGTGGATGTGTCTACAAACTGAGCTTGGTAACAAAGCTTTGCAGTTGGACAGAAAACTGCATATGCTGAAATCATCACTGCAAGACAACATATTATTTCAAAGTTCTTTGTGACAGGTTCCCTAATCCAAATCTCTGCTTGTATAACATGGAGTGATGTTTCCATAATACACACGAATCACAGGAAATTGTCACACAATACTCTTTTCTTCTAAAAAGGTACCTATCAGCTCAACTTTTGCTGTGGTCAGTCACCATTTTCCATCATAAAGTTCTACTTTTTGCACTTATAAAATATGGCAATAAAAGATCATGCCAAGACTAAACTTGGCATGCAAGTTCTGTCCAGAAGTAACCTCGATTAATCTTTTTCAGCTAGCAAGTAAAGTGACTTAGTCATTTTTAAATCACTTGAAACTGAAAGCTGTAGACGTTCTGGTTCTCATCATTTTCTTGCAGTCATGGGTCTGCAGTTTCAGCACCCCTTAACTGCTCAGCTAAAAGAGTTTGCAAGGACTCCTGAACCCAAATGTCCTGAGGAGGCTTTGTGCCATGGATGGGATTACATAAGCTGTTCCCAGCCTCACCTTAGCAAAGAGAGTGAGGCTGAAGGAACATGTTACAGCTGGATTTCCATGTGCTGTGCTGCCTGCAACACAGAATTGAAGATAATAAACTTGGGTGTCTCCCATTTGCACCACTGGAGATTCCGCGTGCAGGAACAGGGATCTCACAGCCTTGACAAGCACATCATGGAACTACCTGAAGTATTTCCAGGCAACAACACAGAGGTGCCTATATTCATCACTCTACTCTTTCATGAACGGCTCATGGAGAATTAGATTGGTAGAAATCAGTCTTACAAAGTGCTCTGGAACACCATTTTAATAGAAGGACAGCCTACTACAACACTTGCTCAGTCATTTTTTTGAAAGTAAATGTAGCAGAGATATTCTTCAAAAGTGGTTTTTCTGTGCACTTAAACCTAAGTTCTGTCTGTTCTCTGCACCATTAGAGATTTGCTGTCTGCAGCTATTTAGAGGCTCTTGCTTGCACTAAGACTGAGCCTGCATCTGAACCCAACACCCACCAAGTTCCATCAGTGCATCCTAAGGGCAAAGAGGTCTTTGCTAATGGATCCTACCGTGGGATCTGATCTTCATCTGTATTTGAAGTGGTTTGTTTTCCCATCTGTAGACTTCCAAGAACAAAAAGGGAAAATGAATTATCACTCTAAATATCTGCCCCATTCTGATTATTCACGCACATGACGCATATAAAGACTTCTTGGGAGCACTATTTGTTGCTATCATCAAGCCTCAGCTGCTGTCTTTTCTGGAGCATTTCAAACCATACAGACACTTCAGAGTTCAGCTTTCCTGTTGCTACAATGTGTTAGCAATTAATGTACAATAAACAAGCAGACAATTGTTCTATTTCCAGGGAATAAAATCTCCAAGGACATAAAACAAAATAGAAACTATCCATCCTTCTTATATCCTAAGAGTTCAAAGCACAGTAAGCAATTAACTCCCCAAACACACTGTCTGGTTGAAGCCATAGTTAAACAGCCACTTCAATCTGACATATACTTTTACAGCTCCTGAAGTCCTGTTTTCTCCTTAACCTTAGCTATTCACTCTCTGCTTCTCCTTGGTGTTAGTACTCTGAAGAGTTCAAGCAACCCCATGATAAGGTGGGCCAAAGAGTTGTCTCTACCAAAACCAAGTGGTTTTAGCCTAGTTTAGCTTTCAGCTGGGTTGGCCCCTTGATGTGACTCATTGTAGTACCACATAAATGCCAAAGGAGGAGAGGGTGAGATGAGGTGAGGATTGCATAAGCTGTGTGACTGCCAAAGAAAGGCTCATGTGAGCACAGCCCCAGTCCCAGTGTTATTCCTGGGGGCAGAAATGTGAGCAGGAGTCTGCTTTCTCTGCTGGTTTGTTTTCTGTCGCTCCCCTTTGGTAGTGGCAGCCTCCCAAGTCCTCAGGGTCTGGAGCAGCTTCTCTGGGTAGCAGGATTGCTAAGAGGTGCTGGGAAAATCCCAGCAATACAGCACTAATGATCAGTGCCTGTAACAGGACAAATATATAACCAAAGGACACTGCTATGATCTGCTGCAAGACAAGTCAAGTTTCTCCTTTGTCAAGATGTTGTCACTGCTTCCCAAATCAAGGACTTAAGCAGGAGGATATAAGGTTGAGAAAATGGACCTTAAGAAGATGAGGAAGAAAGTAAATTAAAAAATCCCATTGTTAGACTTTCATTTGAAAAGGTCTCCTTTTCCCTAAGCAGATCCTGTGCTCAGCAGCCAGAGGTCACTAAAAGATGAGGATTTTCCTACTGCCTGAAGTGAACTTCACTTTGAGCAGGAAAACCGACAAATGCAGCTGACTGGCTTGTGGTTTTCATCTCTTTCAAGCACTACATTGCCCTTTGTTCTGCATGAAACATGACTGGGAAGATAAGAGAAACTTGGGGGCTGTCCCAATGGTGTAATAAACACTGACTTAAAGGAAGGCCATCTGCCTACTTGACTTCTTTCAAAACATCACTAACACATAATGTCAGTTCCCTCACTGGTTCATTCAGTACCTGTTACAAAGTTGCTACTCTCAATAAGGTTTATATTGCAGGAAGGAAAGTGTAATTGGTTGAATGGACTCTAGAATCACCTTTCTCCCAGCAAGGCATCCCAAAGGAGCAAGAGTGATGGTGCTGAAGCCCTGCTGCATGCTGTTTGTAAACAAACTGAGGCTGGGCTGACAGTCCTTATGGAAGGCTGCTTCTCTTAGCCAATGGTACCTTACAGAGTCAAGGAAATTCAAGTTTAATATAATAAATCAAGAGCTTTTTGGTTATCTCTATGCTCCACAGACTGACAGAACTACTAGTATCCTAACTGTATAACCAGTCACACCTTTAAAACAAAAATTACTCAAAAAGCTAAGCAGGCTACCCTGCTTTCCTCACACTGGGAAAAAGTTTGGCTATCCATGTACACCAGATTCATGGGCCTATTGTGTCCATCTGACAACACCAAAAGGGGGAAGGGAAAAGATTCAGCCCTATAAATACTACTGAACTTCTTCTTTCACTGGCTATAGTTCAATTCAGCGTAAAACAAAAGTACATAGCTAAAGCTGGAAAAAATACAGTTGGGTTTTCAGTAGTGCTCTGCATTTGTCTAGTCCTGTTCTAGTTTGAGCAGGTTAAGTCCCATAACTGAGCACTTTTGAAAGTCAGAACTCACTGAGTTCACTGAGGCTCTGGAGTAACTGCTTCTTGGAGGAAGCTGGTTCGTACGTTCAAATGTGTTACTGGCTACACAATAAAAGAGGTTATGCTCTTTTGCAAATCTCATGGTATGAAACTCAGCTGTTCTGCCCTGCACAGGTTCCCCTAACTGTTCACTTGGTTTGAATCCATCTGGATTTTCACCACAGAATTTTGCTTTGAGCTTCCAATTTGAATACACGAAAGCTCTGCCAAAACCACATCACATTCAAACCACAGGAAATCATGAATTTGGCAATGTTTTGACATGGAAGCTGTAAACAGTGTGCAGGTTCACTCAAAACTGGATCACTGTCCTTTGAGTTATGAAACACAACAGAACTTCCAGCAAATCAGGTCAGAATTCTCAACTACTAAAGCAAAGAGAAATTATATGACTTTTGCATGCATCAGGATTTTGCTAAATATTATGACCTAGATTTTTTCCTTTAGCTATAATATACAAGGAATAGAAAGAGCAGTTGAGTTTCCTCCTTTCCAAGTGTGAGTTAAAACAAGATTTAGCTAATTCTCATAGCTCTAATGTACATGTAGCCCATTAAAGACAAGCTAGTTTCCTACTGGCAGCCTTGAGCATGACTAACTGCAAAAGGCAGAGCTATAGTAGAGATATGAATATGGGTTGGTTTTATGTGCAACATGACAGGTAGTCAACTTACAGGTAACTCACACCACTGCTACAGAAGCAAGCCTTCCATTTAAAATCCACTACATTTTCAGCTGCCAAACATTAGATTTTTTTATCCCAGGATTCTGGTTAGCAAACCACAAGGAACTTTTATGAAAATGGAAAAGTCTAAAGTATGATTTTTTACTTCAAATTAAACACACATGTAAAGATGTCATGAGTTCACTGAGGATGAAATTAAAACAATCTAGACCTCCAGACCAAGCCTGAGAATAATCCAGAGTCCAAACCAGAAGTTTAAATCCAAACAAACAGGGAGCAAAATGCAGTCATGCAAAAGAAGATTTATATTATTGCACTGCCTGCAAGAAAATGCAGTTAAATCTTGCTGAACTTAACTTTTACCAGCTATTTAAACCAGGAATTCTGAATGTAGAAAACACTCTGCAGGGATCCTAACACAGAGAACCATACATCAGACATATCTGACCTGTCATAGAGTTCTCGGATGTACAGAGTTGCTCCCGCAGCTTTTCCACGTCGTCTGGATGAACCTGCTCATACAAAGTGCTGCCAAACCATTCAGACTGGGGCTGGTTCAGCACAGGAGTCACTGAATCTGATACGTAGATCACTCTCCCCGTCTCAGCCGCAACTACAAACAGGAACCCATCTGCAGCCTCCAGGATAAGATGCTTCAGTTCCTTCCAAAGAAAGGGTTTGATTAGAATGCCCACAAGAAAAGGGAGTTAAATAAAACATCTGTCACTGTCAAAGAACATTGTTTTCTTGCGATCTTAGTAGCTGATCAAAACCTAGACATAAATTTTCACTGTACTACTGATGTAACAACACAACCAAACTTGCAACATGGCATAAATAGCTCATCTCAACGCTTCAGTTCCTTCCAAAGAAAGGGTTTGATTAGAATGCCCACAAGAAAAGGGAGTTAAATAAAACATCTGTCACTGTCAAAGAACATTGTTTTCTTGCGATCTTAGTAGCTGATCAAAACCTAGACATAAATTTTCACTGTACTACTGATGTAACAACACAACCAAACTTGCAACATGGCATAAATAGCTCATCTCAACACAACACTTACAACCAAACTTGCAACATGGCATAAATTGTTCATCTCAATAACAAACAACACTTTGTCTTCTTTTATTGCCTTTCATCTGGTGATCTCAATGCACTTTAGGAAAATCAAGCAACTAATACTCACTGCATATTGTGTGATAGGCATCTAACATTAAAAACAAAAAGATATTTCACAGTACAGAGGAAATGAACAGCTCTAACTCATACAGCAAACTCACCCCCTAATTAAACATCCTGAATAATTTAATTGGAAAGAAACCAGCAAGACTTTCTAGTTTGGTTCCCCCTGGCCCTGCTCAGGATGAGCTCTGCCTGTAAATTAAACAGTCACCGGTTAAAAGGCAGAAAGTGTAATGGGAACAAGGAAGGAATCCCCAGCCTCCTCTCCTGTTAGGGGGCCTGAGCCACTACACAAGAAGGTTGTATTACTTCTTGCTTTCTTTTTCCAGCCAGTGAATATGAAGCCTGAGATCCAAAGGGTATGAAGCACCCTTGACATTGGTCTTCTCTTTACATGGTCCCCTGCTCATCATCCTGGGTGATTCTGTCCTGAGACACCCACACATCCTCCAGAGATGCAGCACCCAGAGCCTTGACTCCACCTGGGGACTGGAAGGGGGACCACAGGACTTGAAAGCCAGGTACTTCTGTCCCCCACTCTCAGACACTGTGTTTAGACAACCAACACCTTGAACTGCACATGCCAACAGCTATTTGTGTGCATCACACAGAAACACCATCTTTGCTTAACAGAGCCTGGAAACCTTCCACTGGAAAGGATGACAACTACCACTTCAATTCTGGGAAGACAAGCTTGAACTGCCTGTGGTGGCTCCAATGACCACCAGAGCTTGTGAAGATACTGCACCTGGGACTCAGAGAGCTTTGAACAACCTGAGTCCCATTCCAGGTGAGACAGCTCAGCACAGCTAGTGTGCAAGTGGTAGATATTAGCTGATGAAGATCAAAACCTGGTAAATACTACTAAGAAATGGATAACTCATCTCAAGAAACACTTAACAGACTGTCAACTTCTGCTGCTTTATTATAACAAAAGCACATTGATCCTGAACCACTGACTAAATAGAATACCTCACTGCAGCTATACTGAGGATAATACAACCAGTTTTGCATACATTATTAACAAAGATGAAAACAAACTCTGTCACTCTGCAAGACTGAAGAAAAGAAAGAGAAATTGCCATGAGAAGTGACACAAGTGTACCACCACCAACCAGCAGAATGGCACAGTCCCTCCAGAAACACACTTCAGGAAAGCCAGAATAAGTAGAGACGTGAACACTGAGAGGTCAGCAGCAGCAGCTGTTGCTCTAATAGAAAGAAGCATTGCCTCTAGCCATAGCTTACATGTGTAAGTGCTTAAATTGCTTCAGACCACAAAAATGCACATTACACCCATAGGACTTCAAAAACAATGGAGGTGGTAGGACTTTTCAATGCGCTCAATTAAACACAATTTTCCTTCAAGCACTGGGCACATCTTCCTTCTTCCATCAAAAACGTAACCAAGGAAGTACCTCAGCCAGTACAGATGGGATTGATCTCTGCCCAGTTCAGCTGGTGGGAACAGCAGCATTAAGACTAAACAATGTTTTTGACCATTCTCTAACCCCCAGAGGGAGAGGCAGGTCTTCCCAGACTAATTTTTACCCATTTTATATGATCTTTGTTAGGATAGGAAGAACCCAGAGCTGGAGGTGAAAATTCCTTTCCAAGAGGCAGCAAATGACTTGTTTTTCAGATGGACAGACTTCAATGATCAGAATGCCAAGTTGCTTCTTCTAAGAGTAAGATCTGTCATAGAGTTAAGGTCAAGTTCAAACAGTCACAAAAAGTTGACTGCATTCATACCTTGGATATGTAACTGGTACCAGTTACTACACAACAGCAAAAGACCAACCTGAGGTACTACTCCTTTCAGCATTTCCCTGCATCTTTGTAAGACCAAAACCCAGAGAAAACAGACATTTTTGGAAATTCTACCTGCTCTGTAAGAAATGAAGGCTTGTAAGCTCCATCAGTAGATTTGTTTCCAGTGCCTCTCATGGACTTCATGTGTGAAACAGCCATCCGAAGAATCGTCAGCTTGTCAGGCTTACGAGCCAACGCACTACACGTGGGCACCATATCAGACAGCTCAGTGATGTACTGGGTCATCTTATTTCTCCTGCGTCTCTCAATCTCACTATGATTCTCCCTGAACATTCAAAGAAACACCAAACCAACAGAAAAGAGACATGAACAGTGTAAGAATTTGAATTGGAGGCAGCAAAACATAATACTTGGCACTTGTTTTGCTGTTTGCATCCCAGGAGAGCAAAGTGCTTTACAAAGCTAACCACTATTATCCCTCAGTTTACAGACAGAAAATCCAGGCCACAGACGGATAAATATGATTTTCCCATAGCTGTGAAAAGAACCCATATTTCTAGTTATTGGCTTGTGGCCTTAATCTCTTAACCAATTTAATCTCCTTTGGTTTAAGGACTGAAAAATGAGGTAGAAAGATGTGAGAAACTGACATCTGCCAACTTCAGCCAAACTCCAAAATTTGCTGTGATGTATCTCTCAGCTTCCAGTCCTTGCTCAAGATGTTGGATCTGCTAATAAAAGGTGCCTTTTAGAGGAAACCTCTTGCTAGCATCTGGATCAGGTCAGCAGTAAGTGTCAATGCTAATTTACAAAACAACCCACTCAATGACAACACAGATGTCCAGTCCAGTAGTGCTCTGTGGAATATCCTGCATCCCTGTAAGGAGACACTACATGCCAACAGGATCAGACTGCAGCACTGGGACCATGTATGGTATAACAGTACATAAAAAACCCTCAACCCAATAAATAAATGAGTATGAAAGACAACAAGTAAACATCTGGCTTGTCAGACATAGACCAGAATTTATGGTCAAGAACAATCTAGCACAGCAGGGAAATAACAATGACAGTACTTGATGCTGCTCCAATTTGGGCTGAGCTTCAATGTCCTTCCAAGAAAACATATGGCTGAGGTAGTGACTCAAGTCTGAGAAATCTCAAAATGGACAGTCACCAAAATCTTTCAGAAATAAAGATCTGGGAGTTCAGTTTTCCCATTCTGGAAATCACCATTGCTTGATCAGTATTAAGGAATCACATAATATATACATCTGAAATGGTCCAAATGGACCTAGAATGCTTCAGTGCCTAGCACTTATTCTTCTCATACTGTACCTGTCAGGTGGCAGCTAAATACAAGTACACAACAGGTAGATGATGCTTCAGTTGTCAAAGCAGCATCTTCCACTGATTTCAATGAGCTGTACATGGCATTGTCTTGTGGGATCGCTGGCTGATCCAACAAGATGTGAGAGGTGATCACTTGGAGAGTCCAACAGCATTGACTGATGTGGTAACAGGACGCTAAGAGAAACTGCAACACTCTTTGAGACTGACTGTTATGAAGACTGATGATGAGAGCAGAAGACAGGCTTGGCACACTTTTTGGCTACTTTTAAGCATGAAACCTTTTCTTAAAACACAGGACAGTATCTTGAGTTGTTGCATGCTGCTTCTTGAAAGAGAGGAACGCATGGGCTTGCCCTGCTTTACACTGTGTATCCTGCCCCTGCACATACAGGTGTTACATGCATGAGGCACTGTCTCCAGAAATGCCACTTGCAAGGCCACATGCAGAGTTGTTCTTTGTACTGATGCCTATGCTTACTGTCTGATACTCAGGAAATGAAGCTGTGGGTCCCTGCAATGACAACCCATGGCTGCTCAGTAAATTACAGCCAAGCCTTGCCTAAGGTCACTATCTATTACACTCTTATAGTGAACCTTTCATTTCACGTGGCTGATAAACAGCCTCTGTGTGGGTCTGCACAAGTGTAGGAGAGAACAGTGCCCTGTGGGAGCTGATCATACACACACAAAGCAGAACAGCTTGTGTGACTGTGCACATGTCCATAGAGCACATGTGTACATATCAGCTTATACATGCAGATAAATGTGGACAAAGGGAAGCAAAAAGCATTTTTACATGATGAAAGCTTGCTCTATGCTCAGCATTTTCACAGAAGCAGTGATCAAGAAAAAAAGAGAGAGACAAAGAACAGACATGTTCAACATACATTTTACATTTTTAAATACATACTACGTTGTCTGTCACTACAGTATTTTTGTACTCCTGAACACTGAAAGCAACCATTCTAGAGTAAACAAAGAGACTGCAAAACTTCCTGGGAAGAAATGAATATCCCAACACTCCATTTCATTTATGATCATAAAAGCTAAAAAGTAATAGCATGTTCATCTACTGGCCATGAAAACGTTCAAGCAAACAAAACTCTGAAACTTTCCTGAAAACAGTTGAAATTTAAATCCTGAAAAGAAAAAGAGGGGCTGTGGTCCTCTTCCAAAAGTGTGTGTCCTAGGAACCCTGGCATTCATAAGCATGTATGCAGAATGGTGTCCTAATTCTGTCATTCTGTGTTTTTATATGGAAATTTTGGAGGGGCATTACATTTTGGGACACTGGGGAACTGATCCAAAACCACTTAGGGTTTGTATTTCTGATTTCAAGCACTTTTGGATCAGCCAACTGTCCTGACTTTTGATCAGGCAGGACAGCATCATATAAAATAAAAACGGGGGCAAACCATATTTGATTTCCCTTTTTCCTACCTGGCCATCCTCTCTGTGTCAGCAGTGTTTTGATCAATCAGTCCACCTAAAACAAAACAACCAGCTCTCTAAGCTAAGGCACACGTACTGAGATGCTTTGGACACGAACATCCCCCTCTTTTCTCTCAGCAGAAGAGCTCTACAGGACACGCCTACCTTGCAAACTTTTCCTTATCACCAGAGATTTGATCAGCATCATACCTAGAAACAAAAGATAGTACGTCAATCAACAAGGGTTATGCATTGCATGACAGTCAACACAGAGCAGAAAGCAAAGAGGTTCACAACTGCAAACTATTACAAATCACAGCAATCAAAATGAGGGCATGAGAATGATACAGCAAAGATAACAGTCTGATGACACTTCCAAGCCATGCTGATTCAAAAGCCTCATTTGTATATTTAAAAAAGTAGAAGACACATTTCAGTGGGTTTATGCAAACACTTTGACATACACTGATTGCTTGGGAAACTTAACAACCAGCACCATTACAGAAAACACCAGTGAGCTTTTATCGACAGCAGCCCATGAAATATTCATTGCTGTGTTGGAAGTGAACGAGCTGTATCTGTTCCAGACTGCAACCACAGCTCACTCCATTCAGCAGAGGGCACTGATGGTCTACAGATAACATGGGAGGGCAGAGACACGGCTGAAGTGCGATGTGTTACATAAAGGTGCCTTCAGAAGAAGGTTGTGTAGGTACAGACACTCTACTGGCTGTTGTGGAGACTGGCAAAAGTCAGGCAGGCTGGTAAAACTGCTGCTGGGTAAATAGAAGTGAAATTTAAACTGGTTTAAATTCCTAGAACCAAACAGGTACCTCATTCCTATGTAAATCAACAGAAGTTGGATACCCAACCAGGTATGTGCAGTGTATTGGCAGAACTTTTATGGAGGAAATACAGATCAATGGCACTTTTGCCCTGTGGGACTAAAGCTTCAGTGTTTCTGCAGCATTGTCCCAAAGACTGGCAGCAATGTGCCATTTCAGTAAAAAATTATGTGCTGCTCCTCCTTTCCTTCTCCTAAAAAACATACTAACCATTTGAAATTAGATTTGCTAACATAGTTATAAAAAGACACATTTGTTTGAAAAAAAAAGATATTATTTCTGGAGAAACCAAATTGCCTGTTCCAAACCAGAAACTGTAGGTTTTGGAAAATACAAAAAGGGAATGGCTTTTCTAGAAGTGAAGAATATTACTGCTCAAGAATATTTAAGTGGCATTTTGTATTAGAATTACACCTTTCCAAAATGATGTAAATTATTACAACAGACATGCTATGAAGCTCCCATGTATTGGCAAATAAAGTAATACAGCCTAAATAAGCACATTTTTCTCCTCTAAAAAACTACTAATGAACTTTTTCCCTTCTCAAATGAATGAAAACTAATTTTAAATACTCCAGCCAAGCAAGTTCCTCCGTCAAATTTCATATTTTTGTCATTAAGACTCATTCAAACACTGAAGACAAAGCTGAGCAAGGCTTGAGCTGTATGTCTTTATGTTGTGTTTAGCACCAGCACCCTCAAAACACTCAAGTGAAAATGTCACTTTATTCCCCTTGACTCTGCCCAGAGAACAGACTGAGCCAAAAAAAAATTGTCAACAGAAAGACAGATTCAATGAGGCATGGCCACATGCCATTAGGTGAGAAGTACATGCATAGGCTTCGTGTGACAATGAGATGCCATGCAGAGATACCTGAGCTGACCTGGAATTCCCTGAGAAGGAAGGTGTGTTAACTCACGTGGAGTTCCATACTAACACCACTACTCCTGTGCTCCCACGAGCTTGGGGCTTGTCTACTCCTTCTTCTCTGCTTGACTGGGCTGAAGATGTTACTGCTTCCAACTAGCTGAGGCTTGTCTACTTCTCCTTCTCTGCATGACTGGGCCGAAGATGTTACTGCCTCCAACTACTGTTTTTTCCCCTTCCAGTCTCCCAGCTGACCTCTCTGCACACATGCTCCTTCAGGCTCTTCAGTCAAAGCCAGCTGGGTTAGCTCAAGCATTTAAGCAGTAGTTCTTTGCTAATCAAATAATTTTGACCACAACAAGCTAGGAATCAAGTCATGTGAGCAATCTGGAGAAGGGGAAAGTCCTAAAAGGAGAGCACAACTAGAACAGGATGTCTGACATAGCCCTGGGTGCCTCTGCACTGTTTTTCTGTACTCTGCAAAATGGTAACAATCTGGTCTCTATACAGCATTTAAAATTCAAATCTCAGATTTTTATGTGACATCTAAAATCAGCTGAGTCTAGGCACTGCACAGCATACCTCTCCAATAAAAATAATGGAACTGTTGGCTCACCCCACCACCAAACTTTGAAAAGCTGAAGCCAGGATGGAGAGAGACCAACACACCTGCACCAGTGTGCCTAGATATCCCTGATGCTTATGCAAGCACAAATCAGGCCCCAAATCTTGTTCCCTTAACACGTATCTTCTACCAAATATTAGGACAAAGCCTCAGATCACCAGTTTTAACACCAGGGACTGGAATAGCCTTTCTGTAAAAGAAATCAGCTAAACAGGGATACTGCTGGTCTTGTCCAGTAAATTATGATACAGTGTTATGGCATATTTTCAGCATACTGATCTTTCAGACTGACTAGGAAGATTCTGTTAAACCCTACAGTGACAGCTGTGTTTTAACATGGCTGCTGCTATACAGCTGCAATTACAATTTGGATAATCAGCAGTTACCCACAGGCCTCAAAGTATCTACACCCCTCACTGCAGCTGCTTGGTTTCTAATGAAAAAATGCAAACAGTGTGACCAGAAAAAAAAGGAAAAGTGAAAAAAATGGCAATGATGCTTTAATGCTTGTTTTTATTTCTAGCTTAGAATATTCCAATTAACATTTTTTGGTCAATTTTTACTATTCAGTTACACCTAATGGTACATAATGTAAAGCCCATTAATCTCAAACAATCCACCCTCTAGGATCTATCAAATTGTCTTAACAAGCAGTTAACATCTGAAATAAATTTGAAGTAAAATTCCATTTTCAGTGGCAGAAAGACAACTTCAGCAAGGTCAAATAACCAAAGTTCATCTACAGCAGTTGAAATAATATGCTAAAAATCACAAATTTTCTCATTTGACATAGCTGCAGAGTGAAATTATGACACAAACACTGTCAGCTTTATAAGCCAATAGCTACACTAAGCAGATTTCTGCCAGGATGCCTAATTTGTAGAGAAAGCTGATAAAAACAGTAACTAGAATTTGGGTCAAGTTGTTGGCAAGTTTTTCAGCCATATTCATACTGACTTTAAAATATCAGCAGTGAGGCAGCTGTTTTTCTCCACTGAAAGAAGTCAATGATTTGGCCAACCCTTTGCAAATGCTCACCTTGAAAATTTGCTGGGCCCCTCTCCATCTTCATCATCGAAGTCCATTCTGTAAAAGGAAGATCTCCAAATCAGTGCTCATGGCATTGGCAATGGTGACACAAACATTCAGGCCAGCAGTTCTCAACCTTGCTTGATTTGTGTTTTGACTAGAGGTGTTAACGACCGTAGATTCCAGTCTTGCTCATATTCTCCAGACCTAGAAGCAGCTCATTAGCTGTTTTATGTCCCAGACTTTCTTCTTAAGTCAGTGGAAGAGACAAATTCTCCCTTGGGCCAAATCCCAGCCCTCCAGTTTGGCCTCTCCAGGGAGCCACAAAAAGCAGGAATCTCTTTCTTCACTTCTCACACAGAGAGACTAGGAAGATTAACGTCCTAAATTAGCCATCTAAATTAGCTTCCTATGTTAGGCAGTGTGATTGTGTCACTGTTGTAGATATTAAGTCACTACAAAGTTATGCAATAGTATAATTTCCAAAACATTTTAGACAACTTTATTCCTTGAAAAAGAATAAATCTTTATCCCAATTATAAGGGTGTGGCTCTGTTATCAAGGTAGACTAAGATTCAAGCTGATATAAAACTATCCTATACAATTTTTGCACTATTTATTTTAATAAGAAAATACATTAGTATGATATACAGACCTTGAACAGTCCAATACTTGAACAAGGATTCCCTCTGCATTTATGTAGAGGGAATCACAACTTTGTTTTGCAAACCATTTTGTTGGATTTCTTTAACAGTCTAAGCTTTCTGACATTTTTTCAGTGTGATAAAACTTCACACAATTACAGATTCCATGTCTCTAACACTCTTCATATTAACAACAGATATAAACCATATCAAAGGCAAAACCCCTGCCAAGTGCAATGATATTTTTCTCAGATAAAAAAAAATTCCTAGCAATTACAAATTGAATGTGGGAACAAGAATGTAAAAATGCTCTCTAAAACTGCATCAGCATAGAGAAGTACAAGCACAGTCAGGTAGTACTAATTCACTTCCTAACTCTGATAACCAAGACAGACTGGTCTATAAAAATGTGCCTGAGTCACAGCAACCTCTGTACAATTGTACAAGGACAGTAAATCAGCACAGGAATTGGAAACAGTATTACAAGTCACAATAATATTTTCCAGATGGTAATAGTGATTATTCATTTCTGGAGGAAGCTGAGAGAAAACCATTTTCCCCAAAGAGTCTTAAGAAAAGCTGCGTATTTAATTTGCTTAGCTTTGATGCAATCATCATTTTCACTACAAATCACATCTTTGCTCACCTAATTACCACTGAATCCGGTTCCAAAGGCTGCGACCTCTGAGCTGCCTTGAGCAGAACACCACCGACCTCCAGTGGCCACTGCCCTCGCCCATGCCATGGGCCTGCAGCTAAGCCAGGACACAGCTACTGCTACCTGTCACCCCAAACGTGGCTTTCAGCACTGGCCCCAGCAGCCTAAATTCCCCTGGACCTGCAGCACAGACAAATATTCCCAGCAATTTAACATTTACACATTATCATCTAGCCAAAGGTCTCCTCTTACCTACCTGCTTCTTCCCCACACACAATAATGTGCCTGCAGGTGACATTCCAGAACAAACTTCTTAGTTATTTGAATTGCAATGTTTCTACCTACACTGAAAATGTGAGCCAGTGTTATAGGAGAGCTTTTTGTTTACAAGAGGAAGGCACACTTGGACCAGCACTGGGCTGACTCCACCTGAAACCACTCACAAAAGCATCACATCAGGCACATCCTTCACTGAGCTCACTGGCAACTGAAACACACCTTAGAGAAACCTCCAGCTTCAAACTGGGGGGAAAAGGACTGCATAAAAAAATACACACCTGTGAGGAAAAGATTTTTCTTCAGGGATTTTATGAGACGCTGCTGTAATTTGGGACACATTAATTTGGTAACTCCTTTCCTTCCTCTCCGACACACTGAGATCTCATGCCTTGGCAGAAATGGTTCTACAACTTTCTTAGCTTCCAGCCAAACACTCCAGCTGAGTGCTAAGAAATGAATTTTCCCCAAAAATCAAATATCAGTTCTACAGCATTTAGTCTAGGTTAGTATTAGTGGAATACAACACAGAGAATTACAGAGAAGCTGATGACAGTTTAAGGCTTGATCCTGCTGCCTGTGTTCTATCTCTGCCTCCGAAGGAGTAAGGGGGACTAACACATCTAGTTATCTAGATGGTTGGATATCAACTTCTCACCTTAGAAGATTCTTGATGGGTTAATATCCATAGGTAACACCTCCCACATTTACAGTGGGCTCACCACGGCATAATCCAAGTGCCTAGGGTATAACATCAGTCTGTAGCAGACTAAATCTTTTAATAATGCCTTTGCTAGGCTACTCAAAACCCTTGACTTTATTCCAAATGTGAGATTACTAAAAACAAAACACTGAACATAAAGTTCATCAAAAATATCAATACTTGCAGAAAATTGCAACAGTAAATGTATCTCTGTCCCATCTCTGTAAATAAACACATTTCCTAATTTTACATTTCACTGTGCAAAATGAAAAAACCCTTTTGAAGCATAGGAAAAAAAAATGTCTGGTATAAAGTCATTGACTCCAATGTCCTGCCTGATCCACCGTGTCTGCTTTACAGCAAGGCAGAGGGAAACACAGGGAATCAGTTGTAACCTTTAGCAGAACACAGCAGAACACGTAAAAATAATACTCCATCAACCTCCTCATGCCCAGACAGATAAGATCTGCTGTTTAGATAGAATATACTGCACATTAGCAAAACTGTAGAAGCAGCTTCCAAGAAGACAAATGACATCATTTCAGTAGATTCAGAAAGACTATCCTTTATCTTCATTTAAAATTCCCATTAAAAAGAGGCTTTAAAAAAGAGCTGCACTATGCTCCTTCGTTTTGAAGAGACAGCATAAATCTTGCTTTCCGCTTTCATACTGCTCATATCAATCGTGAAAAGCCCTGATGCATGAGGTACTTATTAAAATGTATTTTCCTGAAAAGACGTGTGGGTACCATAAATAAAGTGGCGAAAATATTTGTAAAAATTTAATTGTTCTCCATTAGAAACATTTTCATACCAAAAAAACCCAACCTCCAACAAGGTGGACCTGCACAGGTTAAAAAATTGAGATGGGAGAGGATTTCCACATGGCAACAAAATTGCTATGCAGAGTTCCCCAAAAATGTCAAAAGATGCTATGATTGCACAGTGTAGGAAAGGGGCAGGCAGGAATGGTCAGGAGCAGACACAGCTGAGAGGCAGATGGGGATCTGTGCTACAGCCTTTTGTTCAGAACAATATCAGGGGTACAATGGTGGGCTGAGGTCTCTTCCTCCCCAGATCTTAATAGTTGTGGGTCAGAGAAAAGACAAGATTCTACGCTGAACTGCAACAAAACCAATGCAACTGAAACCAACTAAACAAAAAACACCCCCTAACCCTGCCTGCCCGTGCACAGATAGGTGAACGAACCCCTTACCCTCTAATACAGCAAAGCCTAAATAAAAAATATGTTAAGTAAAGAACTGAGGCTGCATTAATCTAAGGCAGTTATTGACCACTGCAGTGCATTATCTTATGCTGTCACTTTTTTCCATAAAGTAGTTGGAATAATTTATAGAAAAGAAAAATATTTTTCCAAGCTGTCAATGAAGCCAAATGCCTACACGGCAGAAACACCTTCTGGATAGCCAATGAGTTTAAACTGATCTACATTCAAGTCCATACAGCAATTATTCTGCCAGCTTGCCTCAGCAATTATGAGAAAAGAAACAATTTTCAGAGATAACCAAAACTGGGAAAGCTGACTGTGTACACTAGCTCTGTCCCTTTATGTTTGACACAAAGCATTCGTTTCTTAAATGCCCAAGGATTTAGGTGTACAAAGATGTAACACCAGGATAGTAATGAAAGGACCAAGTGTTAGTTGCAACTTTGTTCAAAGAGAAGCCTGGAGAAATTAGACACAGCAGGCATTCTTTCCCTCGAGATCTGAATACATACACACTGAATATAGAAAAAAATAAAAATGCCCCCTTGGCTCAGGCTTGGAGAAGGGCTATTAGTTCAGAGCTATGGTGCACAGACAAAATACCACCATCTGGAGATAAAAGCAAATCTCTATTAACCTACTCACAGAATTTGCATGTTAAATACATTTAAAATAATATGATTTTATGTTCCTCCCACCCTCCCCTCACTCCACCCTCTTGCAAATACATGACTGTATTTAAAATGCAAGGATTAAAGCATTTCAATTAATATCAAGTCAGTATTTAATACAATCAGAATATTTCAGTCAGCAGCATCAACCCTTGGCAACAGTAAATTGCAGACTGGTATTCACAATTGACATGGCTTACAACTAAAAAAGAACAACTATTCTGCAACTCACACGTACAAAACTTATCTATGTTAGGTAGCAAAATAATTTGTTAATGCTTTGTTTTCCCTTTTGAGTGCAAGTTTAAAAAGGTCTTTTCATTGAGCAGTTTGAAAATAAAATGTGATACCTGTCAAAGAGAAGTTTCAGGAGTTTCTCCGACCAATTTCACACAGTTAGATGAGCTTAAGATGGACACTTAGTGAGGGCAGATCTCCAAATTGTTCTGTTCAAAGGAACCCCCTTGGAACAACCACCCAAGTGTTCATGTCACACCGACTTAGCTCTGCCTTCAAGGCAAGGTCCTTCTTCTCCCTTGTTAACTGACTGAGACTCCAGCACTGTTACCTGAGCAGACACCTAGAACTGGCAATGTACCTTGGCAAACAATCCCTAGAGTTGCTCTCACAGGGAATAATGTCTATTCCTTATGTGTCTGTCAGTGAAGATTTTACTCATGCTCTCAATCCTGTTAAGCCCTACCACCCTCTTATTTAGGGCCAAATGTAAGACCAATCAATCTCTTTTGCAGACATTCTCAGATCAGTTATCTCTGAAAAAGCATCACCTAAAGACCATTACTATTTATGAACAACAGTTGATAAAAACGGGGTTTTGTTAATAGTAGACAGTAGTTTTTTGCTCATCAACAGTTGATAAAAACGGGGTTTTGTTAACAGTAGACAGTAGTTTTCTGCTCATGTGAAACTCTTGCTACACTTTTCTTCTACCACAGAGAATTACTATGAGTTACCACAGAGCAATCTGATGTGAAGAAACTATGCCTACACCACATCGAAGTCTGAAGTTGGATAGAACAAATTTTCTTCTTCAGCAGAGCCCTCAAGCTTGTGTAAGGGCTGAGCTTCAGGCCCTTCTCCCAAAAGCAGATTGTGCTGCATTTCCAGTGAGACCCAGAATATCATGGTCCATGATCTCTGAACAGTGGCTGCTCATACTATTGCTGTACCTGGGACTATAAAGGAAACATCTTTAACAGGCCTCTGTTTAAGAGATTCCAAGTGCAAGCTTCAGCTGAAGTTGGATAAATCTGCATGTGCCATCTTGATGCTTTTACGCACACGATAAATCACCTTGAGATTAAACAGATGTAGGCAATATGCATTCATTACATGTACAACAGCCACAGGATCCAAACTCCATTTCTGGATGCTTTGCTGAACCTGAAAGCCTTTTGAAGCAAGCAAAACAACAAGCCATACACTTAACAGCAAGTTTGATCTTGCAGGAAGAGCAAATATGTCCAAGAAAAAAACCAAAACATCAGCGAGTAATGTCATAATGCAGTCTACATACATAAAACATTACATAATAAATGTACACACACATACAGGTACATTTTGAGTCAGTTTCAGACCTGAAAAAACAGAATTGGCTTACCCAGAGCGACGCTTTCCTCCTCTGGAAGGCATGGATCCTGCCATTCTCACTTGTCCACTTGCCATTGGTGCCACCGGCAAGGCCACCGAGCCAGGAATATCTGATGC